CACAGGAGGAAAGAGTTAGACTTTTCTGTCCTTGCAAAAAAAAAAAGGGGGGGGTTTAAAATAAATACGGTGGAGAGCAATGCTCCCTCTAAGCCGTGGAGGCTTGTGAGCAAAAATTCTACTTTGTGAGCTACTGGCATTAAAGTTGTGAGCGAGCGATTTGGCTACTGCATTAATTGGTTTGCTCTGGAGCCATCCTTCCTGAGTTAAGGCAAAAATGTGTGAGCCGGAGGCTAAAAGACTGTGAGCTAGCTCACACTAACTCAGCTTAGAGGGAACAGTGGTGACGAGTAACATGTAGTTGAGCCCCCAACCTAACCTACTTCATAGGATTGTTGTGAAGTGTTAAAGTTCTCTTTTCCTATGCTGTTCTCATCCTTGATAAAGCAATTCTGGAGGTTGTATTTGCAAAAGAAAAAGAAATGGTTTAAAATAAATGTTGTCAGGAGAGTAACATGTAGTCCAAGCCCTAAGGGCCAAACTACACATTTACGTTTTTAATGAGTTGGGTCTGGGTTCCCCACAGCTCTTGGGAATGGCTTAAAAAAAGAAGAAGAGAGAGCCCAAATGGGTAGGGGGAGGGAATGCTCCTGCCTCTCCCCAAACTATTTTCCTATGCAGAAACAGCCCTGGGAAGGAGATATTTCCTTTGTTTTGCTGCTCCATGTGCATAGAATACTCCACATAGAGCAGTCAAAAACAGGGAACCCATTCCCTCTAGTTCTGTTTCTGCACAGGAAGATGACTTGTGGGAGGAGGCATGAGCCCTTCCTCTCCCCACAGTGCTGTTCCAAGCCCATTTCGCCCTCATTTGAACCTACTTCACAGGACTGTTGTGAAGATAAAACAGAGAGGGAAAGAAAGAACCATGCTGTCCTTTGAGGAAGGAATCGGAAATGTGGAACAGATCAGTCAGTGGGTGGACCGAACTACTTTGAGCACATGGACACATGAGGCTGCTTTCTGAACTTTGGTCTAACAAGGCCAGCCTTGTCTAGTCTGACTGGCAGCTGCTCTCTGGTTTCTTTGGCAGAAATCTTTTGTACCACCTACTGGCTGATACCAGCAATTGAACCTGGGGATCTTCAGCCTGCAAAGCAGAGGCTTTCCCATTGAGCCAAGAACTTGGGAACTTGTGTCAACCCTTGTATAATGGAGGCCTACAAGGCTTTGGGAATGGACGTTCCAAAGGGGATTACAGCGCATTCCCTGAGAAGTGCTTCCACCAACGCAGCTTTCACCAACCGAGCGTTGCTTGACGAGATCTGCAAGGCAGCCACTTGGACATCCATTTCCACGTTTGTTCGTTACTCCAAGTTAAACACGATTGCTTCAGCCAATGCTGCGTTTGGAAGAAGAGTTCTGCAGCACATTGTGACTTTGGCTGACGATGATGACCTTCCCATCCGAGGGACACTGCTCTGGGAGGTCCCATGGAGATCTCCACCTCAGAGGGAGAACAGCCAATTGGCACTTACCATAAAGGGTCTTTCTCCTCTGAGGTCAGGAGGACATCTCGGCCCCTCCCACTTTCATCATTGTCTACCTTCATTTCTACTGCTTGTGCTGTTCTCTTCTTCCTTATCCTTTTTTCTGCCATGTTCAGGTACTCTTTAAAGGGGTACTCGTTTTCTCTCTGTTATAGTTTTTTTGGCCCTTTGTTCGCAGGGTTGTTTGTTTCCTGTGTAGGGGCAATAGTTCCAGTTCAGGTTTACTGCTTTCGGAGTCCCAGAACTAAGGAGATGGGCTATTCCGAAGGTGCCAAGAGGAAGGGGGGGAAAGTATTTCCTGCTTCCCTAAAGGAACGATGGGAATAACCCATGGAGATGTCCTCCTGACCTCAGAGGAGAAAGACCCTTCATGGTAAGTGCCAATGGGCCGTTCCCCAGCTTAGCTCTCATTGTCAGTAAAAACAAGATACCAGTGACCTACTTCACAGGATCATTACAAGGCTAGAGATATGCACTAACGGAACATTTTTTGAGTGGCGAGAGCCTGCTCTCTGAACACTCCTGTTTTGTGGGTTTTCTGTGGGTCCAGCTAGATGTGACAGCATCCACTGGTTGGACCAATGGATGCTGGTACCATTTGAAATCCTAATGAAGTGATTAAAAATGTTGAGAGCCTGATCAGGATGAGGGCCCCCCCATGCCTTTTTTAATGAGGAAACAGCCGTGGCTTGGGGTGTTATCTCCTTAAAATCAATGTATAGGAAGCTCCTTGGGCAGAAGAAGCTTGATTTTGCTAAATTGCAATGGCAAGAACTAGGTCTGGCAGTTCAAGAAAAGGAGTCCTGGTTCTGGGAACTCGTCTCCTTCAGTTTAGGCAGTTCCTCCCCCCTTTTATTGGAGGCTCAGATCTCAGCAAAAGGGTTCTTTAAATCTTGTACTAGGGGTGGCTGTAGGTGATTGCTGTTGGGAACAGAGCCCCCAAAATGAGAGGAACCCCCGCTTGGACCGGGGGGCTGGCACCCTACTACTGCACCACAATGGTCTCCCATCACAGACTCTGAAATAAGAGGCCTCTTTTCCTCTCTCTTCTCTGGTAAGTCCCATGGCGAGGACCTGGTCCCTCTTGCATTGTTTAAGTCTTTTCCTGATTGGCAGGTGCCCATTTTAGCCAAAGTATTTGTAATGTATCTAGTCCTGACAAGTCCAGACAAGTCCAGAGACAAACGTTGAGCTTCGCTCCAAGAGACAATGGACTATGCGGATCCTAGCCCGCTCCAATCAGGGGGCTAGGTTCCTGGCCAAGAGCCAATGGGACTCTCGGCCACTGTAAATAACCTATTGGGAAGTGGGGGTGTGTGTTTTGGGTGGCGGTTAAGACGCTGAACTGCAGGCTGTGGAAGGTCGGTAGTTCAGCAGTTCAAGACCCGGGTGCCGCAAGACGGGGTGAGCTCCCGTCTCTAGTTCCAGCTCCTGCCAACCTAGCCGTTCGAAAGCAAGAAATTGCAAGTAGATAAATAGGCACCACTTCGGTGGGGAGGTAACAGCGTTCCATGCGCCTTGATGTTTAGTCATACTTGCTAATCTGACAGCATCTAAGCAAGAAATTCAGCAAGGTGTTGAACTGTTGATGGAAGCATACCCAGAAGATATTGACCTGAAACTTATTGATGAACTTTTGCACTTTCACCTGTACGTGAGACAAAGCCATAGGCTTACAGAAGAGCACTCTCTGTCTCATACAGACCTTTATCAAATTATATACAAGGAAAAAATTCAGATGGCCTTTCCTAATGTGGAAGCAATCTTGCGGCTATTTCTTAGCTTTATGGTCACTAACTGCTTGGGAGAGAGGAGTTTTTCAGGACTCAAAAGAATTAAAAATGAATTAAGGGCCATGATGTCTCAAGAGAGGTTGTCCGCACTGAGCATTCTGTACATTGAAAGTGACAAACTTAGACAAACAAATTTTGATGAAGTTTTGGATGATTTTGCTCTGAGGAAAGTCTAGAAAAAAACATTTTTAGTCTTACTGTATTTGATGGTTGTAGTTTACTTCTTAATATGTATTTTAAAACTGACTGTTTAATGACAACATAAAGTAGATTCTAAAAGTGCCACACTGTCAGGTAATCATGATCATATTATTTACACTTCCCAGGCAATATAATTTGTAAACTCAAGGGTTTTTTTTAAGAATAACATTACAACTTCATTTTCCTAAAAATTAATTCTTATTCCACAAAAGGTTTACAAAGTTCAGTTATTGCAAAAGTTTTTCAGTGTTAATTTTAACATTTATGTCTTTTTTTCAATCACTATGGTATTTAACAATAACATCTTATGTCCTTTAGAAGAGAAATTGTGAATTGCAGAATTTTAAATACCCGTCATCATCCTTGGCTTCACTCAATTTTGTTTATAACACTCTTCCATTTTCTTCTAGGGGTGGGGGATTGAGAGGGGCCTCACAAGTAGAGTAGCCCAGGGACTCTCTTCATCTAAATCCGGCCCTATATGGGGGGGGATGGCATGAAGTATTTTCTCCTTCATTATGCATCTTTTAAAAATTCTTCAGTGTATGTCCTCTTCATACATGACATTGAGTTAATCCTAGAGATTTGCACTGTGTGTAAAGTGCCATCAAGTCACAGGCAATTTATGGCGACACCAGCAAGGGGCTTTCAAGGTAAATGAGAAGCAATGTTTTGCAGATTGCCCTCCTCTGCAGAGGCGTCCTTGGTGCACTGGGGCATCCCTTCGAAATACTGAGCCTGCTTAGCTTCCAAGGTCTGACTGATCGGGCTACAGTGTAGCCGCTACACCATGCCGCCTTTCCGCTAAACATTTGCATTAAACAGAGTTAATTTTTAAAAGTTTGAAAATATATGCATTATAAAGAGAAAGAGGATTGCTCGTAGCTCCGTTTTAAATGTATACGGGCTGGACCCCCAAAAACTCACGTCTCTTTCTCTGTAACGTGTGAATGAGGGAATCTCAACCTTAGTTCGCCAATCAGGTTCTATTTTTGCGATCTACACCCCACCGCCCTTTTATTACGGGAGTTCACTTAAGTTTCTTGCCTTGCAATAACACCGCTCAGGCACTAGGGGGAGCGTTCCTTTGAAGATCAAACCATTCCAAGGTAAGCGATAAAGTCAAAGAGGGCGAAACCTTAGAACACTCTCTTGATAACATCCTGATGACAAATTTCCACCAGTCTTTCTAAAGAAAAATATCAAGCTTAAAAAAAAAATTCTACCGCCCTCTTCTCTTAACGTGGTACACCCCGCTTTAACCCCCCCATCAGCGTCAACACATGGTCCATCCCACCTTGTTTACTCCATCTTTTTTTTTCAAAGTCGCTTCCGTTGGGTGGGGTCGGTGTTTTTTGGAATCTGGGCGGGTAAGCAAATCGCGTAACGTAAGGTTAAACAGACAAAGCGGTCGAGCCAATAGGCTGAAGGCAGGAAGGTTGTGGGCTGCCAATGAGGGTGCACACCGGCGGCGGAGGAGGCGGAGCGAACGTCGCCCAGAGGAAGTTGAGGGAAAAGCTGTGGAATGGCGGACGGTTGGCACGGGCCGCTTAGGTCGTGACGGTGGGGGAAGGGAGGAAGGCGCAGAGAAGGCAGCTGCGGGCGGGTGAGACTCGTTCCTTACCGGCGTCTTTAGGTGGGCGTACGCAAGAGGGCTTAACCTGGGCTGGGGCGGTGGGCGGGGCCTTCTTTAGCTGGAGGGAAGAAGGGCGGGGCATAAACGGCGGGGGGCTCTACGGAGGTGGGTCGTGACGTGGAGTTGTTGTTCAGTCGCCCAGTCACGCCGGGCCCTCCTGTCTTCCGTCGTCCTCCGAAGTGTGCTTAATTTCATGTTCTTTGCCTCGATAACACTGTCCGACCATCTCATCCTTTGCCGTCCCCTTCTTCTTTGACCTTCAGTCTTTCCCAGCATCAGGGTCTTCTCCAGTGAGTGCTCCCTTCTCATTTGGTGGCCAAAGTATTTGAGCTTCAACCTCAGTATTTGTCCTTCCAGGGAACAGTCAGGGTTGATTTCCTTTAGGATTGACTTATTTGGTCTTGCAGTCCAAGGGACTCTCAAGTGTCTTGTCCAGCACCATAATTCAAAAGCATCTATTCTTTGGCCAACTCTCGCAGCCATACATTACTACTGGAATACCATTTCTTTGACCAAAGGACTTCTGTGGGCAGAGTGATGTCTCTAGTTTTTATTATGCCGTCTACGTTTGCCATTGCTTTTCTCCCAAGGAGCAGGCATCTTTTAATTTCATGGCTGCAAATCACCATCTGCAGTGATCTTGGATCCCAGGAACATGAAGTCTATCACCGCTTCCACGACTTTCCCTTCTCTTTGCCAAGGAGTTGATGGGGCCATATGCCATGATCTTAGTTTTTTTGGTGTTGAGTTTCAAGCCAACTTTTGCACTCTCCTCTTTCACTTTTAGCAAGAGGCTCTTTGGGTCCACTTTCTGCCATTAAAGTGGTATGGTCTGCATATCTGAGGTTGTTGATGTTTTCCCAACAATCTTGATTCTGGCTTGTGATTCATCAAGCGTCTGGGTGGGGCTCCTATGCAGTGCCATGGGGATGCCTGCTATTTTCCTTTGCTGCTTTTGGGCCTGTCGTCAGTGTGGTGAACTGAGGTCTGGGAGACTCATGTTCACGATCCTTGCCTTTTAGCCTTACCTATCTCACAAGGTTGTTGTGAGGACAAAACACAGAAAAAGTGGATGCTGCTCGCTGGATGACCTAGGGCTCACAGACATTTAGCCTAACCTTACCTCACAGGTTTTAACTATGGTCATAGTTTGCCTTTCTCACTGTCAGGATGAATTATACAGTGTAAGTTGATGCGATGAATAGATTGAATCATATAATAGGTAGTGTGCTAGGGCCATGATTACAGACATCCGAAGGACACATTGAATATTTGACATGATTCAGAATGCATTCCTGTGCTGGGAAGGCATTGTGAAGGCCCCATGCTGTGCGGCTGAGTATGGTAGCAGCTTATTAGCAGTTCTGTGAGGGTAGACTGGGGAAAGGCTGTGACCTCTTTGAAGGGCAGATGTTTGTGATTAAAATGTTAGATGGGTACTAATTTTTTATTCATTTAACATGTTGCTAATCTGTTTTTGTGTTGAAGGAAGATCTTAGCAAGTGAAGTTTTTCTTACCTTGTTAATATAGGTCATAGCTGCAATAATCATATGCTGGGTGAGTATCTTCAAACAGGAGTAATTCACTCCTGCATCAATTTTTGTGGTAAAATGTATGTTTATATCCTGCTTGGGGATCCAAAGCAGCTTATAAACCCATTCTTCTCCTCTTTTATCCTCACAACAGCAACCCTGTGAGGTAGGTTAGGCTGAGAGACTGAGTAAGTAGCCTCTGGTTATCCAGCAAGCTTCTGTGGCAGAGTGGTTGTTTGAACCTGGTTCTCCTGGATCCTAGTGCACCATACTGGGTTTTCACTTTAGTACTGTCTACTGATCTCTCTCTGATCTTCCTAGTGGTTAAAATGCACAAGTCTCCAGTCAGTTATGAAACTTGCATGATGATCCTGGGCTCGTTACCACCTGGAAGTGTAATATACTTCACGGAGTGTTTGGGAAGATGAGATGGAAGATATGAGAACTGTATGCAGTATTCTGAGCTGCTTAGATGAAGAGTAGCATTAAAAGAAAGCAATAAAAATGGCTAGGTGCATGTTGTGAAGGCACCATGCTTTGCAGCTGAGAATGCTGCTGAATTAAATTCCACAGGCAGGGTTCTCACTTGAGGCTCTGAGATGGGATTAAATGTGCTAGATCTTGCTGCAATAAGTTTCAACACAGAAGTGCTTTATTTTCCGTGCTCTTCGCATAGGTTTGCTCCACACAGCACTGGCAATGTAGACAAGTACAGATGCAAAAGCCTGGTTGAGATAATTGACTTTCAGTGGGATCACACTTTCTTAACTTGCAGTAGTTTAACTCTAGCACCAGTAAAGCACTTTCTTAGCTGTTCTCGCAGCCAAGTCCCTTTATTCTCCATTAAGGTACCTAGGGTGCAGAAGGTGAGCTGCCTTAGTACAATTTGAGAATATATTTGTGTGTAGCCATTATGTCCTTATTACAGCCCTTTCAACTTTTGGAAGGTTAAAGCTTCGTTCACAGTGGCAAAGCAGATGGGCTGTGTCTTTTTTTTTTTTTTTAAACAGGCTTTCATCTTGTGTGAGGGATGGGGAAGTTGTCTATAGGTGAGGCGTCTTAGGTTTGTGAATAGCATGGCAGTAGTTAGACTATCAGCCCAGTCCACACATGAAAACCTTAAAATACTGTCCTATGTAGCTCACTCATCTTCATCTTCTTGTTTGTTCATAATCTGGAAAAGAAAAACAAGCTTTTCTGCTTTATTGTGTCCCAAGCGATTTCTCAATTTAGAATGAATGAGTCCAAAGGAAGAGAATATTCTTTTTTACACCAGCAGAAGAAGCTACTGCTGTTAAAAGTGAAATCATTACTTCAACGATCTCTAAATCCAAGTGTTTAAGTGACTTCCGCCAGTTCACTGGTGTGACTTTTTAAAAAATATTGTCAGCAAAAAGATATTTCTTGAATGGTTCCCCCTTAGCTCTGAAGTTTAGTATAGTTGGCATTACAGATGGATGATTGCTGGATACCCATGGAATAGCTAATTCCTTTTCCTCTGCACTTAAGGTTTGACCCTCGTGCCAGATATTGACAATATTTGCAAGAAAATGAGCTGGAGACAGTGTTTGTCCCATTCATTTTTTAATGTTTGTAATTTAATTCTGTCAGTGTGTAGTTCTGTTTTTAAGTGCTCACTCCGTTCCTTCCACATTTCAACAGCATCAGCAATAAAACAGCTGTGTTTCTGTATTTTGTTTAAAGCTTCAGAAATGGGTTTCAGGATGCTCAGCGCATGTTCAACATTTTTCTTAAGCCCAATGTTGAAGATTTTGGCCGTGACAGTGCCATTTATTTTCTCTTGATTTTGTTCACAAACCCATCAGAATAGGCCAGTTCTTGATATACTGCTCAAAACAGCCCCACTACAAAGTTCCATCTAACATCTTGTGGGAGTGTTAGCTTGGTCCCAACCATTCTTTTCAGAGCTGCTGCAGCAAAATGATAGTTGCAGAAGTATTCAGTCTTTGGCTAGGGATTGCAGCAAATGAGTACTGCAACCATATGCTATTTGCTTTGTATTCCCTTCCTGCTCTTCTAAATTTCTTCTCATCTTGGATACATTTGCAGCATTGTCTGTGATGAAACTGCGTACTAGACATTTGAATTTTTGTTCACCTGTTATAGCTTTTCCTGCCACTTCTTGTAAGTATTCTTCTGTGTGTGTGTTTCCTGACATATTAATTGTTCCTGCAAGGAAGACATTCCCTTCTTCTGTTGTTGTACAAGCACATACAACAGGACCATTGTGGACACCGATCAAGACTTAGGTTAACAATTTTACCATCTAGAGCTGTTGCACATTGCTCCATTTCTCTGTCATACACTTTATCCAGCGGTTTTCCTACAACATCTGCTCTGCTGGGTGGACTGTACCCTGCATGGAAAGAAGAGTTGGTTGCATAAACAAACTGGGCAATTTTTTCATCATTAACTCTTTTTCTAATCTGCTGGTTTTTATCACAAACTTATCTATGGTGGTTTCTAGATGGTCAGCTTTTTTATTTATACAACCTATCCTGGACAGATAACTCTGAAACTGTAGAACAGGTGGTGGATAGTTTCCAGAATCCTCTATGTTGATGATGGATTCCCCTAAACAAAAAAGTCAGTGCTGTTATTTTATTATTTATACCATTTCTGCTTCTTTAGTATTACTTATTGTATTCACTGCCACTCAGTACTGCCCAAAAAAGGAGTATTTGCTTGCTTCAACTCTTTATTTCTTCCTACCAACTGTATCGAAATGACAGTAACATGCAGTAATAATAAGAAATATAATTTTGCTCAAACATGACAGTTCCTTAAGGCAGTCTTTAAAAAATATGATGAAATAAAAATGTTTACCAACCTGAAGATCCTGCCTGTTCAAACATGTTCCTTTTGTCGTCTTCATCACAGCACTTCTCATGATGTTGTTTCATTAGGGCCACCAAGCCTTACATTTCATTGTTGCAGTGTTTGCATTTTGCATGCCTGCCTGCCTTACCCATAGGTAGAAGAACTTCATTAAAATATTCCCAGACTGGGTCTCTTTTACGGCCTGCTGCTATTATAGGTTTTCTCCTTGAAGGAAAGAATAGTATGATAAACCTCAGGCTATACATACAAAGATCCAAAGACTTGTGGAGTATTCTGCTCAAAAGGTTTCACTTTAATTTTACTGCTTGCCCCTCCCTCTTCACACTTGGCTTCTTGAGCAGATCTGTTCCACTCCCAACAATTTCTATTCACTGAATTTTTTGAAATTTAGCAATTAAGAGGTAAGGTGTTGATTCTGTGTACATAGATTTGCAAAGGAGCAATGGGATTAAGGTCTTTTTCTCAACTCTGTATGTTTTATAACATTTTTGCTGTGAAGAAGAGGCATGTATTCTTAAATAGAAAACTAACTTTAGATAGACATTTCCTCAAAAAGTGTTTTATTAAAAAATCCA